AAAAGGGGGAGGAGGAAGAGGAAGAGGAAGAGCAGCAGCAGCAGCAGGATGACAACCTGGCCTGGTCGGATGGTGAGGCTGAGACCGGAAAGAACTATCTACGACAAGCAGGTCAGCAGGGAAGTGGAAGGGAGGAGGCAGATGCTGTCAGAGGGGCAAGAGGACGAAAGCAAAGAGGCAGAGTGAGCTCCTGCAGGAGCAGAAGCAGGAGCAGCAGGCAGGAGCAGGTGCAGCAAGCAGGAGCAGGAGCAGTAAGCAGGAACAGGAGCAGGAGCAGGAGCAGGAGCAGCAAGCAGGAGCAGGAGCAGGAGGCAGGAGCAGGAGCAGGAGCAGGAGCAGGAGCAGGAGCAGGAGCAGGAGCAGGAGGCAGGAGCAGGAGCAGGAGCAGGAGGCAGGAGCAGGAGCAGGAGCAGGAGCAGGAGCAGCAGGAGCAGGAGCAGGAGCAACAACAAGAGCAGGAGGGGCAAGTGGCCACTTTTCTACCGATTCAGGACGACTTGGATAGGAGAAGTGAACGTCTCGAAACTCGATAAGGCCTTTCATCTGCAAAACATTTCAGTTCCATCCTTCAAAATTACAAAAGCAATGAGGGAGAATTCGAATGGAGGCAACGAATCTGCACCTCCTCCATGACGACGTCTCCTCCTGCTATGGGCAGAGAAGGGTCTCGGTCGAGGAGCTCGAAAACTCTCTTAGAGGCTCCGATGGCCTGGGAAAGATCGTGAGAGGAAAGGAGAGCAGAGCAGAGCAGAGCAGAGCAGAGCAGAGCAGAGCAGAGCAGAGCAGAGCAGAGCAGAGCAGAGCAGAGCAGAGCAGAGCAGAGCAGAGCAGAGCAGAGCAGAGCAGAGCAGAGCAGAGCAGAGCAGAGCAGAGCAGAGCAGAGCAGAGCAGAGCAGAGCAGAGCAGAGCAGAGCAGAGCAGAGCAGAGCAGAGCAGAGCAGAGCAGAGCAGAGCAGAGCAGAGCAGAGCAGAGCAGAGGTGTAGGAAGTGCAGGGGAGTGGAGTGCAGGGGCGCGGAGGAGACGAGAGGAAGAGGATAGGCGAGGAGAAGAATCACGCTTAGAAGAAGAGTTGCGAGAGGAGGGAGGAGGAACGTTAGCACAGCAAGGAAGCAGCTCCTGTACCTTCATGAAGTCATTGAACAAGCTTGTCAGCATGCCGATGGACGCGGCAAGCCAGATGGTGTAGCCATTAAAAGAGCTCAGCTCGCCTATCGAGAGTTCCCCGGACAGCACCAGGAGGCCCCCGTAGTAGAAGACGAACGCTAAAGCTAGAGTACCTAAGAAGTTCCTACAAGTTGCATTATCTGACTTGAGGAGCAGGAGCAGGAGCAGAAAGCAGGTGCAGGTGCACGAGCAAGAGCAAGAGCAGGTGCAGCAAGCAGGAGCAGGAGCAGGAGCAGGAGCAGGAGCAGGAGCAGGAGGCAGGAGCAGGAGCAGGAGCAGGAGCAGGAGCAGGAGCAGGAGCAGGAGCAGGAGCAGGAGCAGGAGCAGGAGCAGGTGCAGAGAGCAAGTTGGACTCACATGAAACCAGCGAACGAGCCGTACGCAAACGATCTCTTCTTGGCGAGCTCAAACGCGCTCTCCAACTTCTCGCTGTACTTTCCACGCGCATTCTGCTCCCCGCAGAAGGAGCGGACTGTCCGCACGTTGCTGATGCTCTCCTCGGCAGTGGCAGAGGCTGCCGCCAAAGCGTCTTGCACGGCCTTGGAGACGGTCTTGACGTACTTGCCGTACTTGACGGCAGAGACAGCGAGGAGAGGGACGACGCTCATCATGACTAGCGTGAGCTTCCAGCAGATGGCCATGTTCATCAGCAGAGCCCCGATGACCGTGACTATGTTCCTTAGGCACATGGACACGTTGGTAGTGACGGTGTTCTGAAGGATGCCGCAGTCGTCGCTGAGCCTGTTGAGAATCTCCCCCGTCCGGTGCTCGTCGAAGAAGGCTATGTCCTGGTCCACGATCTTGGAGAAGAGAGCAAATCGCAGCCTCTTGACCACTCGGTCCCCCGCCAGGGTGAACACGTAGGCCCTCATGAATGTGAACAGGGAGCTGATAGAGAAGATGACCATGATCTTAATGAAGGAGGACGACAGCAGCGCTCCTCCCTCCTCCTTGTTCACGATCGCGTTCACCATCTGCCTGCATCCTTGTCATGTCATGGCTCTCACCATGGCGGCGCTCTCCTCACCCTATGATCCAGATGACTACGAGGTTGGTGGCAGATGAGACGGCGAGGCCGATCGATCCCAGCAGCAAGAGGTATCTCTGCGCATCTTGTGACTGAGATAGGACAACAGAGGATGAGAACGACTGTACGCCTACAACTTCGTCTTTGTCTGCACTACTTCTCCTTCTCTCGGCACGCTTTCCCTCAATCGTCGAACATCCAGGACAAACATTTTCACCCAAATCCTCACACTTGTAAGGCAACAAATTCTCTTCTTTCTGCCTGACTAATCACCTCATCTAAGAGTTTTTCATGATGATACCTCTGGCCATGCCAGTGCAAACAGGCGTCTGGTCATCCGGCTACCTCCGTCTCCTTTCTTCGACATGTCGTCATCCCGTCCTCGCTGAAAAGCTCCAGTCTTGCCAGCCTTTCCATGATGTCAGCGAGCTCCTTCATCATCGTGATCATCGTCTCTACCTCTTCGAACTTCCCGTCGGGCGCTGCCAGCATGCTCACTTCCTCCTTCTCCGTCTTCTTCCCGCCGTCCATGTCGCCCTGCCCGACCCGCTAGATGGGTAGACACGGTGTTGCCTGTAAAAATCCCTTCCACGATGACCTTGGTGTTCGTATGACCCCCACCCCCTATTTCGAATCTGGGATGTATGATTGTCAGCTAGCACCCCTGTAAGTACGTACAAATTACCCCTACCTGTCAGCACTAACCCACCCCCTAGATGAACCCCTACCCTCGACTTACACCACCCCCGTCGACCATCCTCTGTTGACATTTTGACTATAGGGGCTAAAGTACAATCTTAGAGGGGGGCGAGAGCAGCACAAGGGTAGGGTACCTACCCCCGAAAGGTGGTATTCAAATCTTTCGAGTACCACTATTTTATGTATCAAAATAGGGGGTGTAAAGACCACCTCATGGAATAATGGAGGGGTACAGGGTAGTCATAATGGTGAACCAGTGGGTGGGTGTCAGCACTAACGTGTATTGACTATAAAAGTGCGGCTGACGCTGACGGGAGCCTATCGGGCATCACCGCCAACGGAGCCATGCTCTTCGCGCCCTCCTCCTCTGTCCTCTCCCCCTCCTCCCTCCTCCCCCCCTCCTCCCTCCTCTCCTCCCCAATCTCATCCTCTCCTCTCTACGCATGCTCCCCTCATTCCATGTCTCGCCCATCGTCGCGAAACTTCGGCCCTGATTCCCGCTGCTCGCGAAAGCGCGAAGGACTGAGGGGCTCGGTCGCGATGGCTGAGGACTGGAAGAAGAGAGCATGCATGGCAGGAATATCTTGGCTGCTGCTTCCTCTGTCATGCCTGGCGGCCTCTCCCATCATCGATGAAGCAAGGTCTCTTGGTTCCAACGAGCGCGGGAGGCTCGAGGAAAATCTCAACAAGTTCGAGGAGGAGACCAACTATCGCGTCCGTGTTCTGACAATCGACGAGAGGCGCCTGGACGAGAAGCTGACGAGGGAGCAGGTCAAGAAGGCCTGGAACCTGCCTGACGAGAGGAGCCTCATCGTCATCCTCCAGGCTGGCAAGGGTAACGTGCTGAGCTTCAACGCGGGGGCAGAGGTGTCGAAGCTGCTTCCTGCCCGGTTCTTCAACGAGCTGAGCGGGAGGATGGGGAACGTGTACTCCATCGGAGAGAGCGGAGAGAACAGCGCGATCGAGGAGAGCGTCTCTATCATTGAGAAATGCCTTCGCAAGGGAGGGTGCGCGCTAGTGCCGGGGATCGGGGAGGACCAGTATTATGCGACCCTTGCCTGTACCTCCATGTCCGGCCTGGTGAGAGAGGAGAGGAGGGAGGAGAGGAGGGAGGAGGATGTGGTGTCTGCTGAGAGTGGAGAGGGGAGAGGGGAGAGGAGAGAGGGGAGGAGAGGAGAAGAGAGAGGAGAGGAGAGGAGAGGAGAGGAGAGGAGGGGAGAAGACATCTCCTGAATTGATCTCTGAAGATCTTCGGACTAGCGTCGCTGGCATCTTACAAGGAGTTTCAAAAGAAGCCGGTGAGGCCAGGGTCATGTTATTGATGGTATTGGGAGATGGAGATGGAGATGGAGATAGTGATGGTGGTGATGATGATAGTGATAGTGGTGATGTTTGTTGTTTCGTTTGTTGTTTTTTGTTGTCGTTATCGTTGTGGTTGTGAATTTTCTGCTGATGCTGCTGCTGTTGCTTCGGTCTGTTGCCAGGTGGCGGCGGCAGCGGTGTGTTTGTTTGGAGATCTTTTTTCTGATTTCTCCTTAGAAACAGAGGGAGCTCTTTTATCAGTATACTCCTGTCTTCCTGTCCCCGCTCTGGTACATCCTCCTCTACCCCTCGCATCCTTTGCTTCTCCTCCTCGACCAATGCTGCCCACCAATAGCGTCCGATTTGAACTCCATCTCTCCTCCCCCTCCCCCCCCCCCCTCCTCCAGCTATCATCTGCCCCTGCCCCTTCCTCTCCTCTCCTCTCCTCGTTTCCCCTCTCTTCCCCTCTCCTCTCCTCTCCTCTCCTCTTTCTCACTTTGGTCTACCAGGGGGAGTTTTCCTCAGCCTCGGAATTCAGCCGCTCATTGCTCGTGATGCTGACTTGCACTACACATTGCAGAATGCAGGTCACAAATCAA